GCACGTGTGGACAAGTGGCTCGGACCGCCCATTTCGGGTTGTTCACTGCAGACCCTGGTGAATCGCCTAATAATAATCAGATCTCTCTTCCCTAAATTTGGTAGTGTAAAGGTGCTGTGCATAAATCGTAGTATTTTCCGTTAAGATATGGAAACCTGAGGATATTGGGTTATTTCCTTAATATTTAGTTCAGCGTGTCCCTTTGCGGTTATAAGTTTTGAGTTTCGTGTCAGATCTGACTTCTATTCTTCCATCAAGTTTAACTTGTGTTCTTGTTTTTGAACCAGATGAATTGAGGAGTAGTTAAAGGATTTTTCCAGATTGGCTCCTGGCAATTTTGTTAATTCTTATAAGCGTTGTGGGGAGCTTCGTGAAATTTGCAAGACACTGTTACTTAGTAGTATTATATGCTCTGATTCGGTTTCTTAAGGCCCCCCTTCCCCGCCCCACCTTCCCGTGTGTTTTAAAGATGAAACTTCTGTGATGGGAGAGGACTTAAGTATGTGGGATGTTCTTTACCCACACTGAACATTGTTTACAAGTATTGGACTGTGTTGTGTGGGATACGGAACACAGGTGAGAAAAAAAAATGGACATGAGCCCTGCCCCACATTCTAGCGAGAGGGATGACAAATATGAGTAAACATATCAGTAAACAGAGTTGATGAAAATTATCGTGAAGGAACAAGCAAGGCACCGAGAAAGTCTTCGGAGAGCCCAATCCTGTGGGACACTATGGCCATGTTCAAGTTTTTAATTCTAAGTGCTGGCGAAGCTGTTGAAGGATTTTAGGCAGAGCAATGGCACACTCAGGTTAACATTCTAATACACTTTGCTCTGCAGAGGAAGAATTGAACTGGGCTCAAGAGTAAAAGCCGAGAAGCAAGAGTGGAACTAGTTGAAAGATGTTGCATTGAGTCCATGAGGCGACCATGATTGTGTCTGGATTCAATCACACTGATCAGGCTTGCTAATAGATGTGTCACTGGGCTGGACAAAGCCATCAACTGGGTGGATTGTGGTACTGTTGACTAAGATAGGGGTCGGAGACCAGTGGGAATGTTTAATTTGGACAGTTAATTTAAGGTTTCTCTGACAGTCAGTTGGAGATGTCAGGCAAGCGGTAGTAGTATCATGAGTTTAGAGTTTGAAGGACAGTTCTGGGCTGGAGGTAGACATTTAAGCATCATCAGATTTCAGATAAGACTAACTTTTTATTATGGACATTTTCAAACTTGAAAAAAGTAGAGAGTAATATGATTGCACAGTCATCACTGGACTTAACAACTTCCAATATTTTGCTAATCTTGTTTTATCTAACATTTCTAACTTTTTTTAACCTAGTAGATTTAAAGCAAATCTCAGTGTGATTTTTTTTTACTGTGCATCTCTAATTGATAAAACACTTTACATAACCACTATGTCATTATCAACTTTAGTAAACTTAATTCTAATTCCTTAATATCATCTAATGCTTGGTTTGTATTTAGATTTTTCTGGTTGTCTGAAGGATGTCTTTTAACAGTTGGTTATTTGAAGTAGAATTCAAACTGCATTTGAGTGTTATGTCTTTCAGGTCTTTTTTAAGTGAAGGCCATATTTAAAACCATGAAGACAGAAGACTACATGAGAATGGAATACCCCTGTAGCATAGTGCATACCAAAAAATGGAAATGTTTGAGGAAGTGAGTGGGGAACCATGTTAGATGTTGCTGAGAAGTTAAGATGACAGAAAGGTGCCTACTGGACTTGGCAACGTGGAGAATATTGGTGACCTTGTAAGGAGTGATGATGATGGAAGCCAATTTTGGTGTAAAGATGGAGTTAGAAATAAAGGATTAGAGACAGCATGTGTTCACAGTTCTTTTAAGAAATTTTAGGTGGGAAATGAGTCCATAGCTGGAGGGATTAAACAGAGATACTACAGAATGTTTGGTATGCTGATGGGACTGCTCTGGGGTAGAGGGAAAGATTCATAATACAGTAATAGTAGGAAGGAGTTCACTTGCAAATGGGATGGGTTCCGGAGCCTATGTGGTGAAATTGGCCTTTGCCTTTTCCTCCTGTAACAGGAGAAAAGACATTTGCAAAGCTAATGTTTTCCAGCCCTTTCTAATCCAGCTGGGAAGACATGGTTTTCAATGAACTATGGTATAGTATTGGACTGGCTCTAGTGGGCAGTTTGAAAAAAGTGCCATGAGAGATAGGGAAGGAAGTATATAATTGTACTTTGAGTGGGTGAGGGGTGGCTTCAGAAGAGGTAATGCTGAGTTGAGTTTAGAAAGAAAAAATAATTTCTCTACATTGAGTACATTGTAGTCAAAGGAAATAGCACAAATAAAGGGAAAGTTGGATGAGCTGCTTTGCTAGGTGTGTATGAGAAGTGATATGAGATGGGATTATGTAGGTTACCAGGAACCTGATTGCAGGGGCCTCTGAGGTGTCATAGTAAGGGGTATGGCCTTTAGCTTGTACACAGTGTAGGTTATGGGAAAAAAATTTAAGGTTTTTCTCAGTTTTAATATTTTCTCAATAAAAAATAGGAAGAATAGTCCAAAGCCATCACCTTGATTTAACAATTATTAACATTTCAGAACTATTAGATTCACAGGAATATGTTATTGAGCCATTTTAAAGTCATTTACACATGATACTTTATCCCTAAATAGTTTAGCACACATTCTCTAAGAGGACATTCTTTTACATAATCATAATATTTTATCACATGTAACATAATTAATAATAGTTTTCTCATCTAATGTCCAGTCATGAATGGTTATTTTTATTAAATTATTGGGTGACATTGGTTAAGATCATATAGGTTTCAAGTGTACAGTTCTGTGATACACGATCATTATATTGCATTGTGTGCTCACCACTCAAAGTCAAATCATCCTCTGTCACCATATATTGACCCCTTTACCCTTTACTATCCCCTAAACCCCCATCTCTTTGGTAACCACCATACTGTTGTCCGTGTTTATGAGTTTTGTTTTTTTTTGTTTGTTTGTTCATTTGTTGCTTTAAGTTTTATATCCCACATATGAGTGAAATTATGTTTCTTAACTTTTTCTATCTAACTTATTTCTCTTACCATGATATTCTCCAGTCCATGCATGTTGATAGAAATCGCAGTATTTCATCTTTTCTTATGGCTGAGTAGTTTTCCATTATATGTATATACCATATCTTCTTTATCCAGTCATCTATTGAAGGACACTTCAGTTGTTTCCCTGACTTGGCCACTGTGAATAAGGCTGCAGTGAACATAGAGGTTACATGAATGTTTGTTTTAAATATTTGTTCTTAAGAGAGAGGGAGAGAGGGATAGAAACATCAGTGATAAGAATCATTGTTTGGCTGCCTCCTGCACGCTCCCTACTGGAGATCGAGCCCAAACCCCGGCATGTGCCCTGACCAGGAATCCAACCATGACCTGGTTCATGGGTCCAGGCTCAACTATTTAGCCACATCAACTGAGCATGGATGACTTTTTAAAGCAAGATTGTGAACTGATTAAAATGGAAGGTCATGAAAAGGGTAAGGGTAACAGCAAAACATCAATAGGGTGAAGGGGTGATTGTTGTGGGAAGAGACTAGTATTTACATCAGTTATACAATTATTACAGAAAAGCAGGTGAGAAATAAGCACTTGAAATAGAGGAGTAGCAGTGGAAATGGGATGAAGTGGAATAGGAGTGATGTTTACTAATCTGAAGATAGGGTTTTATCATTGACTGAGAATGAAATAGCTCAGAATGATTCCAATGTGTCTACCTATAGTAACTGGATTAAAGACTAAGTAATGAATAAAATAGAAGTTCAAAGAGAAGTGATTTAGTAAGGAGAATGCACTTTTTTTTTCCTTTTAACTTGTTGCTAGTGTGAGGTAAGTAGGTCATTCATACAGAGGTGGCCAGTATGTAGCCAGAGATCAGGGATGAAGCTTATAAATATCAGTGCTGAAGATTTAGGAGTTATCTGCACATGGATGATAATTGGAAACATTGTAGGGCATGAGATTATGCATAGGAAGAGTACAGAGAGAGAAGAGAATAAGTATGAAACTTTTAGAAACAGCATATAAAAGGGAGCCCTGGTCAGCATGCTCAGTGGTTAGAATGTCAGCTTGCATACCCAAGGTGGGTGGGTTTGTTTCCAGGTCAAGGGGACGTACCTGGGTTGCAGGTCTGATCCCTGCCACCAACCCCCAACCCCCAGGACACATGTGGGAGGCAGCCAAAAGATGTGACAGAGACACATCAATGTTTCTCTCTTCTCCTCCCCCCTCCCTTCCACTCTCTAAAAAATCAATGGAGAAAAATATCCAAACTTCTTAGAAGAGGGTTACGAAAATAAAAGGGAGTTAAGGGAATAGCAAACAAATTTTAAACTTAGAGTAGGGTTACTGGTAACAAGAATTGCTGTGGAAGTCATGGGCTAAAGGAGTTTTTAAAGATAGAATGGTCAGCATGGTTGGTAACTTGAGTTTCCAAGTTGTCTGAAGACTGAGAAGAAACTATTGGCAATTCAATGGCTAGGTGACCAATGAGAGAAGTGCATTGCCCAGAGTTCTCTTTGTCAGTGATTTGGCACATGCTTAATTATATTAAGGCAGATGTGTGATGTGTGAGACTATTGTAATTGAGTTGCAGTCATAGCAGGGGTTTTGAAAATGTTATCAGTGGATTAAGGACTACTTTCCAAATACCAGAGTCAACTTCAAAATGCTAGCTTTTGAATTATATCAGTAATAGTAAACATGTAGTAAAGTAGATATTTCCTAGTTGAATAATATATGTTTATGCCATCATGTTACTGTTTTACTAAGTTTAAACTTTTCCTTTCCTACAGTGAAACAGATTCAGATAGTTCAAGCTCTTCCTCTTCCTCATCATCATCCTCATCTTCCTCTTCCTCTCGAATATTAGTTCCTCCAGTGCTGTCAGATGGAGATGAAGATGTACAAGTTGAGAAGGAAAATAAGAATTTTCCTCTTATTAAAACAAAAGATGAATTACTTATTAACGTAAGTACTTAGATGGGTTAATAAACCTAATTTGGATGTTCTAAAATATATTTTGGTACTGATATTGATCTCATTTGCTCTGTATCTGATCCATACATTTGAAAACTTCCCAATTTTATTGGACATACTTTTGCCATGCCTTACCTTTCTTAACTAAAAGAGGATTGTCAGACGATTGATCTGGATAATTTCTAAGGTTGCTTCTAACTCTAGCATTTGGTAATTGTTCTTCTGGGGTGTTAAACTTTAGCTTGCTACTCTCCATTTTTTTCATCTTACCTAGAATATAGTTCTTATGTAAATTTACAACCTTGCTTTTTTCTTTCTTTTTTGGTCCATAAGTCAGAACATTTTGTTCAGTTACAATTAAAATCAATCTTTTAATTGACTTGCACTAAGAAACATAGAAATTGAAATTAATTGGTTAAGCTTATTAGGATTTCTACTGGAGTTTTTGAAGTGTTTTTGTTATTATAGTAGGAGAAAACTTGTTTATTAGAATGGTGTTTTTTGGCACTTGATAGGTTTTGTTTGTAAGGTTAGCTCTTGTATGGTTATTTCCTCTTAAACTGTAAGCTCTCCCACGGAGGAGAACGGTAATCTGGTGGTGGGAACCTCAAAAAGAACACCTCAGAATTTTAGAACATAGGCTACATTGTCACATATTTATTCTCTCTACTCACACATGTCCTTTGTTGTTATTGGAGCTTTTTCGGTATTTAATGATCACTAATTATAATTATTACATAACACTTAAATAAGTGAAATAGTTTAATTCAATATTTGAGGGGGAAAAATTGAAAAGCCTAGAGGCTGCTGGGCACCTTTTCATCACTGAATTCAATTAATATTGTTTCTTTTTCTCTACGCATAATAAAAATTACCATCTTATTTATGCTTATATATTTAAAACCCTTGGATGCTTATGCAACTTCATTAGTGGTTCATGTTTTAATCCTACAATCTGCCGAGCCAGCTCAGCCAAGGGTTCTGCAAGCCTGAGTGAGGGCGGTGAAGGGATGAAGAAATGACAAAGAGAATAAGCTGGGTCTAGGTCAGTGATGGCGAACCTTTTGAGCTCGGCATGTCAGTATTTTGAAAAACCCTAACTTAACTCTGGTGCCATGTCACATATAGAAGTTTTTTGATATTTGTGACCATAGTAAAACAAAGACTTATATTTTTGATATTTATTTTATATATTTAAATGCCATTTAACAAAGAAAAATCAACCAAAAAAATGAGTTCGCGTGTCACCTCTGACACGCGTGTCATAGGTTCGCCATCACTGCTCTAGGTGTTAAGACAATGTGGACAGAGAAAGCAGTGACTGCCCAATGTCCCAAGGACAGAGGCCATGAACTGTGGGACTAATTTGCTTTCAAGGTATTTTTTTTACATAGCTACATCCAGGCAGCATGCTCCAAGTTAAATGAGAGCAGAAATATCCTATATAATAAAAGCTTAATATGCTAAGTGTCTGGTTGTCCAGTCAAGCAATCAAGGTGTAATATGCTAATGATATGCTAAGGTCACTCAGCCGCTCACTATGACATGCACTGACCACCAGGGGGAAGACACTGACCAGTAGGTGAGCTTGCTGCTGGGGTCTGGCTGATTGGGACTGAGCAAGAGGTGCCAGACATGGCTGTGCCCTCTAAGTTGGACTTGTTTGTGGCTTTGCCAACAGGTCAGTCCGAGGCTTAACCCTATAGCCGTGCCCTACAACAATCATTGATATCAGTGGTCTTTTTACACAAAGGCTCACCCAACTGACTATTTTCTGAAAGTATTGGGAGAATTGTTTGATCTTTTCCCTGTATCTTGCTCTTCTTTACACCTAGCTTTTCTCTTAGAGTACAAAAAATCAACAAATAAAAGACCACAGTACTTTTGTATATGTATGTATATTGTCTTAATTTTTTTATTAGATCTGTAATACTTACCTTGGGATGTCTTGAAATTTAATACAAAATCTTAGTCTACTTATTATTTTTCTAAATAGAATGCCCATATTTTCATCAGAAAGTCAAAAAGAGTCCATGGCCACGAAGAGGCTAGGAACCATGTTCTTTGACAGACTAAGTTTATACCTGATCTTTATAGCTTCTGTATTGCCCAGTAGAGTGCTATACAGGTAATGGGTTCTCAGTCAGTGGTAATAGAATGAATAATTGAGGGGGTAGGTATCTTTCATTCATTCTTAAGCTATTATAGCACACTTGCCATATGCTAGGTGCTATAATTAAGACCCATCCAGTTTCTCCTTTCATAGTGTTTAGTGGAGAAAAACAGACAATAATTAAAGAAGAGACAAATGAATTTAATTATGGGAAGTATCAATGAATTGTGTGAGTGTATGTTTGGCTCATATCAGAAAATTACATTTTTGATGGGAATATATGTTAGCTTTTAAAACTTGGAACAATGGGCTTGTTCTTTCTTTTTGTGCCAGTACTGAGGGATTTTTGGGAAGAATGGAAGAGCAATTGTAGTCTTTACTTTTCAATTTTGTATTCTTTTTTTTTTTTTTAACATCACAATATGCTTTTAAAGACATTTTGCATTGTGCTCACATTCCCTTAAATGTTGTTCCCAAGAGTTCTCAAACTCTAGTCCAACCAAAATCTTGGGAGAGGCAGACAGTTTGGCCTAAAAACACAGGTGGGGGTAGGAGACAGCGAAAGGAGAAAGTAGCCTTTCAGTTAAAGATCAGCCCTCAGTTTAAAGTAACGTATTTTGCCCAAGAGCTTTTTATTTTATTTATTTTTATATATTTTTATTATTGATTTCAGAGAGGGAGAGAGAAACATCAATGATGAGAGAAAATCATTGATTGGCTGCCTTCTGCATGTCCCCTACTGGGGATTGAGCCTGCAACCCGGGCATGTGCCCTTGATTGGAATCAAACGTTAATCCTTCAGTCCTCAGGCTGATGCTCTACCCACTGAGCCAAACCAGCTAGGGCCAGCCCTCAGTTTAAAGGTTAGCTTTGGGCAAGTTGGCCTGAGGTGGAGTCATGGTCAGAAGGAGAAGCAGTTTTATATCTTGACTAGCTGTTCACTTTATATTTACACAATTAAGTAAACTTACTAGAAGTTCTTGGTCCTTTGCTAGACTCTGTTGCTCGAGCTAGGTAGAGGAATGAGTTCCCTGGTCTGCCCTAAATTATTTGACTTAGAGCTCTGAAAGAGTGTATTAGGAACTCTCAAGTTCAAGGGAAGAGAAAGACTTAGGCCCCATTACCAAGGATGGTTTGGCTACAGTATTCAGTATCTTAAGACTGTTTTCTCTGTCTCTCAGGTGTTTCTCCGTGGGCCTGGCAGTTTGGCCACTGATTCTCCTGTATGAAAGTCATGGGAAGGACTTTTACTGGTTTACCTGGGGCCTGGTACCAGCCCTGAACAAATTACTGAGGCTAGTGGAATGGGTATTTCCACTGCTTGGAAATGATTCATAAGTCCTGTTTCTGTGGGAGAGTATGTAGGAAAGAGTATGCTTGAGAGAAAGCACATGGGCGAGTGTGTGGGTGGGAGTGTATAAGGGCTGTTGACAGGAAGGGAGTGTGAATGTGTGTATATTTTGAGGAGGGCAGGGGTTGAGTGGGTGGTATCAACCCCAGGCAGACTGCAGGAATGGGTTCTCTGTCACAGGAAAGACAGGATCCATTTCAGAAGGGGATCTGTCAGTCAGTAATAGTTATCTTCTATAGAGGGAAAAAGGGAAACACTTAGAAGAAGTTATCACATAGGACTTAAGTTGCAATCTTGTGGTTGTGAACAACAGAGACTCAAATTACTTCATTAGAGGAGGGATTTGCTCTAAACTTGCATAGGAAAGCCATTAAGAATAAGGGCAGCAGTGGACGATGTCCTAGGAAGTGTTCTCTGTTTTGTTATAACTCTGGCTGGTGTTGCTTGTGCTGTTTCGTTCAGGTCTCGTGGTATAGTAAACACCAGCTAGAGTTAGTGCTAACAAAATATACTTTCTACAGAAAAGTGATGAAATAGTCTATCCATGTTGTCTTTGCTTAAAGGTATTCATAAAATGGGCCAAGAAGTTAAACAATGTTAGCGCTTATGCTGGATCTTTAGAGATCTCTAGAACATAGACATGCCCAATTTAACCCAGTTTTATGTCCTACCTCTTTATAAAGCAGCGGTTCTCAACCTGTGGGTCGCGACCCCTTTGGGGGTCGAACGACCCTTTCACAGGGGTCGCCTAAGACCATCGGAAAACACATATATAATTACATATTGTTTTTGTGATTAATCACTATGCTTTAATTATGTTCAATTTGTAACAATGAAAATACATCCTGCATATAAGATATTTACATTACGATTCATAATAGTAGCAAAATTACAGTTATGAAATAGCAATGAAAATAATTTTATGGCTGGGGGTCACCACAACATGAGGAGCTGTATTAAAGGGTCGCGGCATTAGGAAGGTTGAGAACCACTGTTATAAAGTGCCTCATTCTAGGCAGGTGTCCATTCTTCAGACATGCTGAGCTTAATTTTTACCTTCATTTAGTCTGTTTCTCAAGCAGGAATGTTGCCTCCTTGGATGAGGCTTATCTTCAAGTGTAGATATGTGGAAGTATATAGGTGAAATAACCTCGAGATTGTTAATTTAGAATTAAACCTTAGATAGTTGCAACAGTCCCTTGGCAAGATTTGGTTATAACTTGGATGAAAAGCAGGGGTAAGGCAAAGAGGAAAAGAGGGATTAATCGCCTAGGGTAGTAAACACACAATGCAATATAGATGATATATTGTAGAATTATACACCTGAAACTTGTATAATTTTATTAACCAATGTAATCCAATAAATTCAATTTGGAAAAAAAAAGGATTAGTTAGCTAAAGAAGTAGTAGAAAGAGTCTTAATTGGCTCTTTTCATAATGCCATAATTTCATAATATATGACATTAAATATTATCAAGTAGAGTTATACTTTTATTATTTACTTACTTAAACATAAACCCTTCTTTA